GTTGCGAATATATAATAAAGTATAAAAATGAGTGATGGCAGATTTTCTGGTATTTCTAGCTCATTCTTTTATTCTTACTCATGTTCCAAATTCAGACTAGATTCTTAGGGTGTTGACAGAGCACTATATAGAAGGTATGAAGGAGTTGCACTGTATCTATGTGGATTTAAAGAAAGCATTAGAGGAACTATCTCCATGAGGAAGTCAGGGGTATTCTTGGGTTGAGGTCATTACTCTCTGCAGGCCAATCAAGTTCTACCACACCAAACTTGGTCAACCATGTCTTGGAACAGGAAGGGAAAAATCCCCAAATCTCCAAAATATCTCGGTATGCAGAAGAATGAGGAGTTACTTTCACTGGAACAATGGGTCTGAGTTTTAAAAATATTAAAATTAAAAGAAAATTTCAATGGTCTCTGACATAAAAGCTGCATTTTTAAAAAATTATTTTAAAGATTTGTAAAATTTGCAATAAAATAAAGGTTTTAAAAAGATTCGTATGAAGTTTCTTCTACCACCATGTTTGCTGTTGCGGACTTCTGTCAAGTGTAATAGGTTAATAAATAACCAATCACCGCCGCCATTTCCTCTTACATCACGTCTAAATGGCACGAAGTGCTCACTTCGTGCCTTCAAATTAAATGTCAATGAGGTAGGAAAAACATTGAGCACTTAACACCATTGTACAGTTATAGGTCATTTTAAAACATTATGTCATTACAAATTAAGCTGTTTGGTTTTAAGCCTGCTTACGTCCTTTCAGGTTGAATTTCTAACGCAATATTGTAAACATGCTTTTATTTTGAAGGCCGTTACCGGAAGAGTTTTATCCGCGTTTGTCGCTTTTTGCTTTACTCGTGCCCAGCGCTCGAGTGGTGTCGACTCGACAGATTTGAGCCTGAACTGGACGGAGCGGACGGCAGGTGAATACTTTACCTTTTGTAAAGCTTAAACACGTTGACGGTTATTCGTCTTTCCCCACTGTCTTTAACTTGTTTTTAATAAAAATGCACTTAATGCCCGCACAAACCGGTGTTTTTACTTAGCCCACCCTGAACGTTGGTCGTAACCGTAGTTTAATCTAAATGAAACAAAAGTTAGTGGATGCAGTAATGAAATGTCACACAAACCTTAGCTTTGGTAGTCATATAGGTAGCACTGAGGATCAAGGATAACTAAATTACGTTAAAATCTAAGTAAAAGTATCAGTCTTTTCATTTTCTCTGAGCTGCATGCGCACTTAAGACGTGCGGCTTTTGCAGAGGCAGCCTGTCTTTCCTGCAGCACCGGTTTATCCTAACGATTTGTTAAATCAGTGCACAGGTGTTGCGAAAGTAGAAACTCATTTTGAAAACAGAGTACATCACAGCGGATCTGTAGAGATTCCCCATTTGCCCCCATTTGCCCTTCACAATAATGGAAGAAGTGCCTCCAGAAAGGTATGGACACATAAACACTGGATTAACCTGATTAAATCACAACAGCATGCTGCAGGGAGAAGAGGCAAAATATTCACTTGTGTTTCATGAAATAAAAAACAAGTGAGAAATAATAGTCTTCATTTTAGAAATTTGTAAATAAGTGTGAAACATGTAAGCGTTTACTCTAAGCATAAGTCACTGTGGGTCGGGCTACTGATGCTGTCTTATATGTGCTAAAAGGGGAAAACGAGGATCCACCTCAAGTAATCAGCTGCAGTACATGCCCAGCTAATAAATTCATGCATATTACAAGTCAATACCTACAAAGATAACAGGCTAATTCTGTCATCTACTTACTTACTAGTAGTAATACTGTCTTTTAATTCTGTGAAAAACCTAAATACACCCCATGACTCAGTAGCTTTTCAAGCCACCTTTATCAGCAATACGTGTTTTCTGTATGACTTTATCAGCCACTCACATCATTGTGTAAGAATTTTGTCTTCTTTTCATTCTTTACAATGTTGCTTCGGTTCATTTGATTCTAGAGTACTTTGGTATACAGAGGAGTTTGTGGTTGAGTCAGTGACTGCAAGGTGCCCAAGTCCTGTGGCTCCAGGATAAGCCCAAATCATCACCCATCCACCACCGTGCTCAATGGTTGGCATGTTAAGAATCGAGCACTATAGTTAGCATGCTAATTGAGGCCTGTATGGTCTGAGATGTAGCTCTTGGGGTTTTTTTGTTTTTTGCAGTTTCTCTGACTTCTGCATGGTCTGACCTTTAGGTGAATTTGCTGGCAGATCGAGCCCAAGAAAACCTTTTTTTTTTAAAACACACACCAAACCAGCAAAAATCCCCTGGTTTTACAGGGGTGCTCTCACTTACTGATTAAGCACATTTGATTAGCAGTACCTGGCTGCTCCTTACCCTTTTCATTACTATGGAAGTCGGACCATAGTAGCACCCTGCTGGACCAGCTGGGTGTTAAACGGTGAACACACTGAGCCCATGTTTGACCCTAAATATTATTTTCATTTCTGTTTTTGGACTAAAATGTCTGTCCGTTGAACAGGGGAAACACTGTCTGTCTTTGGTTATGCTCATTATTTGTTAGGCTGACTTGTCTTTTTATACATCTCACTTAACGACCATATTAATACTAATAAATATTAATGTCTTTTCTCTAGAGAGATGTGGTGGGTGCTGTGGGTGCTCGCCATCTTGCTGGCTCTCTTCTGCTTTGTGGATGTGTGGTACTTCCTGCGGGCCGCAGCGGTCATCCTGCGGGCCTGGTTTCAGCCTCCAGTCTGGGACATCACAGCGGAGCAGGTCCTAACAGGCCGGGTCACTCCCCATGACATCGACATGTGCCACATGAACAATGCTCGGTACCTCCGGGAATGTGACTTTGCTCGCTTCTCTCTCTACATGCGTAACGGCGTGTTTAAGGCTGTGCGGGCCCTCAAGGCTTCAATGGTGGTGGGGGCCACAACCATTCGTTATCGCAGGGCTCTGTGTATCGGAGAGGGTTATGAGCTGCGCAGTCGCATTGTCACTTGGGACGACAAAGCCTTTTTCCTTGAGCAGAGATTCGTGTCGACAAAAGATGGCTTGGTGTGTGCCGTGATGTACTGCAAGCAGAGTGTCATACGCAGCACAAGATTCTGCAGCACCTGTGCAAAAGAAAGGTAAGGGAGGAAACCACACAGATGCATGAGTTACACACGCTGTCCCGCTGAATAACATTGAGCTTGTGTTTTGCACGCTGCAGGTGGAGTGCCCTGAGTTTCCAGAGGATCTTCAGCACTGGGTCAACTTCATCGCTGCCAGCAGCCAGGCCCTCAGGGCTGAGAGCGGCCTGGAGGAGAAGAACAAATAAAACCTTTCATGGGCAGATATTAAAAGTGGCGTCTTGTGAGTCAGCCTGTTTACAAGCCCAGGAGGAAAGTCTTCTCCTATTCAGAATCTCTTCACTTAAACACACTTGTGCCTGCACTTTGTACAACAAGCTTTATTTAAATTCCAACATTTGCAGATATGAAACACTTGATAACAGCACACTACATTATTCTGAGAGGTTGGCAGTTATGGTAAAAATAATAATAATAAAATATTAGAAAATATAAGTAATACAGTTTTATAAGGTGTGTTATGATGTGGTGTGACAGCAATAAAACGAATTCAGGAAATTGGTTTGAAGTTTTTACTATAACCAAATGGGAAGCAATTAAACTACTTTATATGACAGTGTGTGTGTTGCAGTGTGAACAGGTGTAGCAGGGAATGGCATCATGCTTGAGTGATGGGATGATCACACAGTTTACATGATCAGAACCGCCAGGACACATCAGCCTTTGTAACATCCACAGATTTCATGTTAAAACTCAAAAAGTAAGCTGAAAATTCAGTCAGAGCGACTGTGTCATGAATGCTGCCTGGACACCGAGTCATAAAGCATGTCACAAACACTTCTCGTGCACACGGCTGACTGGCGGTTACAAGTGAGAACAGATACAATGCCAGGTTTTCTTGATGTAAAAAATAAGTCCACAATAAATCAATTCAAAACTTTTCTCACTTTTCATGTCACCTATAACCTGTGCAATTCATCCGTCAGTTCACCCCCACTTCAGGGGGGCTGGAGCCTATCTAACTACCATAGGGCAAGAGGTGCAGTACACCCTGGACAGGTCGCCAGTTTGTCGCAGAGTTAACGCCAAGAGTCAGACAACCTTTTAAACCTATGAGCAATTTAGAATCACCGGTTAACCACCACAACTGCATGTCTTTGGACTGTGGGAGGAAATCTGAGTACTTGGAGACAACCCAAGGAGAAAACCTAATACTTTGTTGAAGCAAATTTTGAGTTAATACCATTGAATGTCACAAAAACCTGGCATTTTAACAGGGCTGTGTACACTTTTTATGTCCACTGTAAACTAAAATTGGTTCAGAGGTTTGTAACAGTGGGGGAAAAAGTACCCGGAAAAGAATACACTATCTACACTATTCATAAAAGTGTAGATAAAGTCAATCCAGTACATTGTTACTCTGTAACTAAGGTGCCACCTGTAGACTAAGTATCATTATTGGCCATAAACCTTACGTATTTTACACTTTTACAGCCTATCCCTTTTTGTCCTGTCTCTCTCCAACTGGTAACAGCAGATGGCTGCCCCTCACTGAGCCTGGTTCTGTTGGTGGTTTTTCCTTCCCACTGTCACCAAGTGCTTGCTCATAGGAAGTCATCTGATTGTTAGGTTTTCTCTGAATTATTGTAGGATTTTTACCTTACAATAAAAAGTGTCCCAACAAAGAAGCAAAGCTACAAACTATGAGTGAAGAAAAATATTCACTGCAATAAAAATAATTTTAAAACATAGTAATGGAGATTTTGTTGTCTACTGACAAAAACTAAACTAAAAGAAATATTTCTAGGAAATAATCTTAGCTTTAGTCTTGCCTTTTGAGGATTTGATACATACATTTGTTGAGACTTGGAATGGCCTTATGAGTCAAATTCCTCCGCAAATTGCTGTGTTGTAATTGTAATTACTATTCTGAATCTCTGAAATCTACCTGACAAATACCCTCCATATTATATTAATAAGATGCAAATTCAACTGAAAGGAGAAAGCTGTCTAGGAACGGAAACTAATTAGAACATTAAAAAAAACAACAACAACTAACTCTCGTACCATAAAATTTAATAAAAAATATTAAGTAGTTGTATTATTATAATTAATATGTGTTTATTTATTGGCAGTGATATGTTTAAAAAGCACTATTTTGTCTTATACAAAGTAAACAGTAATTTCTAGTGAATGAAAGGGCCGACCTTACATACCGTCTCTGTGTTAACCAAGGTTCAAATGAATAAATTAAGATATAAAATAAATAAGTAACTAAATCACGTGTAACTGTGGCATCGCCAATCCCTGGAAAACGCGTAAACGTTTTCGTGTAACCATGCCGACAGGTCAACCAATAAGGCTTCTTGTCGTCATACACCCGGAAATTATGTTCATTGATTCTACCGGTTTCTTCAAGTTGCACCGCTTTCCATGATAGCACTTTCTTCAGGACGCGCAGTGAGTTTCACGTGCATTAAAATATACTTCTCCCGTCTGTATGGTTGACGCTTAATGTCTGATATGGTGAACTGAAGTGAGGCGGCTGTGCGAGGAGGTTGTGCTCACTTTAATTCCGAGGGCACCGGCTGCTGGCAGCTAGCGGCTAAGCTAACAGATTTGGCTTTGATAGCAGGCTGCAGGCCGTTCATTTTAAAGGAGAAGCGTTAGCTTTACAATCCCCTCAAGGTTGAATCGACTGCTTGTGAAAATATGCTGCTTCTGTATTTTTAGCCAGGTTAATTTCAAGTCAGTGTAAGGAGGGGAACACTGATCTATTGTTTTTTTTTTTTCCACATCTGCACTGTCATTGATGAGGTCAAAGATGCATTTATTTTAATACTGAAGGCAATCATCAATTTAGACTCTTTTAAAAAATCCTTATTTTTTAATGAAGAAAAAAGATAATGACTGTAACATTGCAAATAAACACATTCTTTTCTAAAGACTTCAGTTTTCATTTTTGATACTAATATTTGAACTATTTCTCCAGAGAGATGTTGCTGTTGGCGTTGGGTGCCCTCCTCCTGCTCTTCTGCAGCCTGGATGTTTGGTACTTCCTGCGAGGGGCCCAGGTGTTCATCCAGGCATGGTTCCAGCCCAGGATACGGGACATTTTAGCCGAGCAGAGCATCGAAGGCATGGTCCTTCCACATGATTTGGACTACTTGGGCCACATGAACAACTCTCGGTATCTGAGGGAGTGTGACTTTGCACGCTTTCACCATTACATGAGGAATGGACTGTTCATGGCCTCACGCAAACTGGGGGCGAAATTGGTGGTAGGGGCGTCTACCATCCGGTACCGCCGCTCCTTGGTCTTCCGTGAGGCTTTTGAGATTCGGACCAAAGTTTTGGGCTGGGACGAGAAAGCCTTTTACTTGGAGCAGCGTTTTGTATCCAAGAAAGATGGCTTCGTCTCTGCGATCATGCTCTGTAGGCAGAATGTGGTGCACTGCAGCCCCGAAACCATCATTGAATTTATCTGCAAAAAGAAGGTAAGGGAAGTGCTCAAAGTGCTTCTGTTCAGGTGTAGAATCCACAAAATCATCACATTTTAGTATCACAAAACTATGAGTATTATTGGGTGATTAATCAATTTTATTCATCTAACACTTTGTCCGCTTATAGATCGAGTGCCCGGAGTTTCCAGAGGACCTCAAACACTGGATGAACTTCATTGCGGCCAGCAGCCAAGCCCTGAGAGCAGAGAGTGGACTAGAGGGAAAGAACAAGTGAAGCCACACCATGACGCTGCGTATCATGAGTGTCGACACATTTCATATCATATATAGCATTGCACGCACATATACATGCACACAAACACTTAAACATTGTAGAGTGTTTTAGTTGACTTCCAGAAGTATCTGTTTTGGATAAATTCTACCTGCTGTGTATTTTTGTAAGACGTGAAGTTCTTTGACCCGAGGGGGGCTGAACATGAAAACTTGAACTGTAAGGTTTCAAATGCTCGGTATGTAAATGGATCACAATGGCGTTTGTAGCTTTACCCTTGCAGCTTATTCAGTAGTTGACTGTAAGTAGACCAGCATTACACATCTTCATTCTCATTCAGCAAAATCCTCTAACCTCAGATAAGCATGTAGAACAAAATGTAATCTTCCACTGACGTCAATGCATGATTTGAAACAACCAGAATATTTTTGTGCCTGTTTCTAGTAGTTTAGAACGCGTTATAACTTTTCACCAAAAAAAAGACATGGGTGCAATGAAATACTTGAATGGATATAATGAACATGTGCTGACGATTGTTTTAATTTCCCTATCAGTATTTTGCACAAAGTTATTATTAACCTAAGGGAGAAAACCAAAATTCTTATGAGGGATGAATATATCGGTGCAATGAAGAATTAAAATACCTGCTTTTAAAAGGACAGCCCCTCAATCAGGCCTGCGTGTCATTTTATGAGAGCGTGCTTATATTTTCGATTGACGGGTGTAATGAGCAAACATGAGGTTGCTGGCAACTTTTCAAAACCTGCAACGCACAATTACCAATGAATGTCTGAGTGATGTTTGAGTCCACTGAGGCGGTCGATTTGAAAGATGTTCTCGTTAATGCATCAGAGTTTTTCCTTTGTGACCAAAGTAATGTACTGTTCTGTGTGAAGGAAATCCGATTTTTTTTTTTAAAGATGTCTAATCTGTTTTATTTATGTTGTTGATGCACTGATCACCAGATTCTTTTAAGTTTGAAGTTATACATTCTCTGTTTATGTCCCAACTATTTATGATTGATTGAAATGTATCAAAATTTATTTATTGTGTTTGTTAATATTTAAGTGCATTTTTTTTCAATTAAAAATGCTCTGGAAACTGTTTGGGTCACTGTTTTCGTCTTTGTGAGCAAAGTACACATGCAGTTTGGTTTGTAGAACTTCACGGGACATTTTTACAGCTAATGTACTTAATTTATCTTAAACAGCCTTTAGGTGATCATTTAACAGTTAACGTTTGGCATGTAAATCTAAAATTTCTGACTTTCTGAGTTTTTCCTTTGTTGTTCAGAGCTGGAAAAGCAGCATTTGCAACTTTCAAAAACCATAAGTACAGGGCTGTTATAGTTATATGTTTAGATACTGTAGCTTTATGTATTTAATTTTTCCATCACCAAATTAATCTTGTTTTTACAGGAAAATGTGCTTTTTACAGTTTTAGTTACTACTATATTTGTAGATAACGAGTCCAGATTAAAAATGTGGTCGTCAAAGTAATGATAGGTATCCATTCAAAATCCTTCCACATGAAAGTGCCAACAATTGTGACATTTTAATCCATTTAGAAAAGTACCCCCATCAGTGACCAAGAGCCCAAGGATGTACAGGCACAGGTGTAATTTCCAAAATGTGGGTTTCATTATACTCCAGAAAAGACAAAAATAATGTCAAAAATACACAATCACAGAAATACCACCTCCACATTTTTGCCATTTCTTCCACACTCAACTCTTTTCATTTTATTGTATAGCAATGTTTGTAATTAGAATATGTTTCTGACCTTGCTTTCAGGTTTTTAGGTTTTCAATGTAAATTTCAAAGCAGTCAATAATACAGGCACATCTACAAAGAACATCTCAATATCATGGGCATTGACAGCTGTGTCAAGTGCAGGGAAACTGAGATTTTAAACATGCAACAAACGATGGAAGATTCATTGTCACTGTAAAATCTAATTCATTCCCAGAACAGTATTTATTGTTCAGTCACAAGTGCTGTCTCTAGTTTAAACAACCCATTTGCTTTGCATTCAAACTCAGAAGTTTGAATGCAATCTCCCCCTCCACACCAGTGTTCTCAGGCACTGGTACATGGCTAGTGTCAGACATGTCACTGTCCTACAACATACAGCACGGCCCACATTAGAAATGATGTTTATGTAGACCAGTGATGGGAATTAGGGGCAACGCTGGAATTAGGGGAATTGGTAACGCCGTTACCCCTTACAAGTAACGGCATTACTTTTTTCAGTAACGAGTAATCTAACTAATTAGTATTCCTATCGTTACAACGCC